TCGCGAGTGGCACGACACACTGAGGACTACACTTGCGGCTCTTGGGTTCGCTCCTTCTACAGCAGACCCGTCGCTGTTTCTACGCACCGACACCTCGCTGCCGCCGTTCTACGTCCTAGTGTACGTCGACGACCTCGTCTTTGCCACGGCTGACACTGAGGCACTGACCCTTGTGAAGTCCGAGCTGCAGAAGAGACATACCTGCACTGACCTGGGTGAACTGCGCAACTATCTTGGCCTGCAGATCACCCGGGACAGAGCACGGTGCACCATCACACTGACTCAGTCACACATGGTGCACCAGGTCCTTCAGCGCTTCGGCTTCCAGTACTCCTCGCCACAGCTCACTCCTCTGTCTACCAGCCACTCGCTCTCAGCTCCACCTTTCGATGAGTCCGTAGAGCCGAGTGGTCCGTACCCAGAGCTTGTGGGTTGCCTCATGTACCTGATGACTTGCACACGACCTGACCTCGCGTACCCTCTCAGCCTTCTGGCTCGCTACGTGGATCCCGGTAGGCACCGAAAGGTGCACTGGGATGTTGCGAAGAGGGTACTGCGTTATTTGTGCAGTACGTCGGGCATGGGGCTTGTGCTTGGAGGACGGGGTCCAATTGTCCTCACTGGTCACGCAGACGCCTCCTGGGTTGACGACTCAGCTACGCAGCGGTCGTCAAAGGGTTACACCTTCAGCCTTGGGTCCGACTCGGTTTCTTGGCGGTCTACCCGCTCGTCTTCAGTTCTCAGCTCCAGTTGTGAGGCTGAGATCTATGCCGGAGCCATGGCTGCTCAGGAGCTACGCTGGCTCACCTACTTGCTGACCGACTTGGGAGAGCAGCATCGTTCGCCTCCAGTCCTGTACGTAGACAACAAGGCCATGATTGCCTTGTGTAAGGAGCACAGACTGGAGCACAGAACGAAGCACATCGCTCTGCGATACTTCCTTGCTCGAGAGTTGCAGCTGCGTGGCCAGCTTCGTCTTGCATACGTGGCCACTCGGGCCAACACTGCTGATGTCTTCACCAAGGCACTTCTGCCTGGTGATCATCAGCGCTTTGTTACTGTGTTAGGCCTTGTGCCTACTTTGCCTCACTCGCCCCTGCAGCCCACGCTCGCCCTTGCAGCCCGCGCTCGCCCCTGCCGCCGCGCTCGCCCCTGCAGCCCGCGCTCGCCCCTGCAGCCGCGCTCGCCCCTGCAGCCGCGCTCGCCCCTGCAGCCCGCGCTCGCCCCTGCAGCCGCGCTCGCCCCTGCAGGCCGCGCTCGCCCTTGTTGCCGCGCTCGCCCCTGCAGCCCGCGCTCGCCCCTGCAGCCGTGCTCTCCCCTGCAGCTCGCACTCGCACCTGCTGCACGCGCTCGCCCCTGCAGCCATGCTCGCCCCTGCAGCCCGCGCTCGCCCCTGCAGCCGCGCTCGCCCCTGCAGCCCACGCTCGCCCCTGCAGCCGCGCTCGCCCCTGCAGCCCGCACTCGCCCCTGCAGCCCGCGCTCGCCCCTGCAGCCCGTGCTCGCCCCTGCAGCCCGCGCTCGCCCCTGCAGCCGCACTCGCCCCTGCAGCCCGCACTCGCCCCTGCAGCCACGCTCGTCCCTGCAGCCCGCGCTCGCCCCTGCAGCCCGCGCTCGCCCCTGCAGCCTCGCTCGCTCCTGCAGCCCGCGCTCGCACCTGCAGCCCACGCTCGCCCCTGCAGCCCGCGCTCGCACCAGCTGCCCACGCTCGCCCGTGCAGCCCGCGCTCGCCCCTGCAGCCCTCGCTCGCCCCTGTTGCTGCGCTCGCCCCTGCAGCCCGCGCTCGCCCCTGCAGCCGCGCTCGCCCTTGCAGCCACGCTCGCCCCTGCAGCCCGCACTCGCACCTGCTGCCCGCGCTCGCCCCTGCAGCCACGCTCGCCCCTGCAGCCCACGCTCGTCCCTGCAGCCGCGCTCGCCCCTGCAGCCCGCGCTCGCTCCTGCTGCCCGCGCTCGCCCCTGATGAAACGTTCCACAGCGTGTTCCCCTGTCGTCTCCTCCGACGTCCTCTCTTCCTGACAGTGCTGACCCTGCCTCCGACCTTACTCATGCTGCCAGTCCTACTGTCACTCGTCTCCTCGCTACTGTCATCACTGACCCTGACTTTGAGTCTACTGCTGCTTTTGCCCTAGTCACTGAGCTAGTCCAAATTGTTGCTAGACGCCGTCTCGACTACGACGCGAGTCTTGTTACAGAGTCTGAGTCTGTCTGTCCTCCGTCCCTCGAGGGTGAGCCTGCCCTTGGCAGTGACGTCCTTGAGGACAGGCAGTTTGAGCTTGCGTGTCTTGCGGCCGCTTTACCTCGTTTCGCATCCATGCTGCTTTGCCCTGAGGGAGACACGGATGCACCTGACATCCCTACCCTGCGCTCTTACGCCGAGGCAATTGCGGGTGAGTACTCCTCTCAGTGGCAGACAGCCATGGACGCAGAGATGGCTTCCTGGAAGTCCACAGGCACCTACGTCGACGAGGTTCCTCCTCCTGGGGCGAACATAGTCGATGGCATGTGGATTTTCATAGTGAAGCGGCCGCCGAGTTCTCCGCCTGCCTTCAAGGCGTGTTACGTTGCTCGAGGCTTCAGTCAGCGACACGGGATCGACTTCTTCCAGACCTTCTCCCCCATCCCAAAGATGACTACTCTTCGGGTGTTGCTGCACATTGCAGCACAGCGTGACTACAAGCTGCACTCCCTCGACTTCTCCACAGCTTTCTTGCAGGGCAGCCTGCACGAGGAGATCTGGCTGCGCCGCCCACCTGGCTTCACTGGGTCGTTTCCTGCGGGTACCCAGTGGAGCCTCCGGCGGCCAGTCTACGGTCTCCGGCAGGCGCCCCGCGAGTGGCACGACACATTGAGGACGACACTTCCGGCTCTTGGGTTTGCTCCTTCCTCTACTAACCCGTCGCTGTTTCTACGCACCGACACTTCTCGGTCGCCGTTCTACGTTCTCGTGTACGCCGACGACTTGGTTTTTGCTACTGCTGACACTGAGGAGCTGGCCCTAATGAAGTCGGAGTTGTAGGAGAGACACACCTGCACTGACCTGGGTGAGCTGTGTAGCTATCTTGGCTTGCAGATCACCCGGGACAGAGCACGGCGTACCATCACCCTGACTCAGTCACACATGGTGCACCAGGTCCTTCAGCGCTTCGGCTTCCAGTACTCCTCGCCACAGCCCACTCCTCTGCCTACTGGCCAATCGCTCTCAGCTCCACCTTAGGAGGAGTCGGTAGAGTCGAGCGGTCCGTACCCAGAGCTTGTGGGTTGCCTCATGTACCTGATGACGTGCACACGACCTGACCTCGCGTACCCTCTCAACTTCGTGGCTCGCTACGTGGCTCCCGGTAGACACCGAAAGGTGCACTGGGATACTGCGAAGAGGGTACAACGTTACTTGTGCAGTACATCAGGCATGGAGCTCGTGCTTGGAGGACGGAGCTCAGTGGTACTCACAGGACACTCCGACGCTTCTTGGGCCGACGACCAGGTGACTCAGCGTTCGTCACAGGGTTACACCTTCAGTCTTGGCTTTGGTTCTGTCTTGTGGAGGTCCACTCGTTCTTCTTCTGTGCTTGGTTCCAAATGTGAGGCCGAGATCTACGCTGGGGCTATGGCTGCACAGGAGCTACGCTGGCTGACCTGCATGCTGACTGACTTGGGGGAGTGGCCTCGTTCTCCTCCAGTTCTGTACGTCGACAACAAGGCCATGCTTGCCTTGTGTCACGAGCAGAGACTGGAGCACAGAACGAAGCACATTGGTCTTCGCTACTTTCTTGCTCGAGAGCTGCAGCAGCGTGGTCTGCTTTGCCTTTCCTTCGTGGCCTCTCAGGCCAACACTGCTGATATCTTCACCAAGGCCCTTGGGGCTGGTGATCATCAGCGTTTTTGCACTGCTCTTGGCCTTGTGCCCACTCTGCCTCACCTGCTTGTCTCTTGATCTTGCACTTGTTGTACACTGATATCTTTATTTATACCCGCATGTCTACACTTGCTAGGTTGTGATCAGTGTACTGCCTTGCTATTATAACTCTGCATGTGAACTCGCCTTGTAGCCGCTTGCTTGTGCTCAGAATGAGTGGTGATCTTGAGATCCACCCCGGGCTTTGCATTGCTTTGTTCTCTTTGCCTGACTGGTCTTGTGACCGTTTGTTGTGTTGGCTATCCCTCACTTTGCCTAGGGGGGTGTGTCAAAACATATTTATATGTTCTTAGTTCTGCTAGGCTACAATGAGGTGCTCAGTATAGAGTACAACCCCAGTTAGAGTTTCATACTTGTATCTCCCTGTTGCTAGTCATTGATCATTCCTGTTTTCCTATCTCAACACCCATTTGGTGTTTCTAGACACCACGACCAAAAGAGTATTGCTCCCTCGATGAAATTTCGTGGTTCTTTCACGTCAAATCTACCAAGATCCCCCCCCTCCCACTATTTCGCTGTCGCCACGCGCTGGCGAGTCTTCCGCTGCAAGTGGCCAGAGAGGTGCCACATGGCATTTTCGAGGGGGTGATGACGTTCGCGTCGAAACTCACATTCACGCCTCAACCTGTGATGTTAAAACTACCATGAAAACACTCAAGTTGTCTACTTAAAAAACATTTTAAGATGGTTGTCTACACTAAAATATACCATAAATATCCACCTGGGTATTATGTAGCTTTTTCCTACGAGGAGACCCCATTTTTGCCCTATATTTTTAGCTATACCCTAGGGTGTTATGTCCGGGAGAATACGGTAATCGTCGCAAATGTTGATGTCAGAGGCCTTGGTTGAACATCTTGTGCACCACTTGTCATGCTCTGCTCTCTGCACACGTCATGCAGGTTGCATATACAGATGCTACCAGGCTTTGTCTCTGGGCCTGTTGGCGGATGTTTTCAAGGCAATACTGTACCTGTGTTTCTGTTGATACCCCAACATTCTCCGCAACCCAATGTTACCTTGGTTCTGTTTGAAATCTTGGGTGTGTGTTGGTACCGTAATTGATTGAAAATAAAAATTCAATAAACAATCAGGGACAAGAATAGAGACATGGCGGATGGTTGGCAGAGACGAGCAGCAGCCTATCCCCAACCACGTCTATGGCTGGGTGCAGCAGCCCATTCTCCCGCCTGCCCACCACCCCCACCAGCCTCCGCTCCTCCACTGTCTCCCCCTCGCACCTCCCACTGCCCACTCCACCACCGCCACCACCGCCGCTGCACTCCAAGGCCATCGGAATGCTGTCCTGACGCTCCTCACCCTCCTGCCCATCCACATCCTCCATTTCATACAACTCTCTTCCATGCTCTCGTCCATACTCCCCCTCGCTTCCCTGCTCCCCCTCACTGCCCGCATCAGAGCCCTCCACCACCGCCCCACTGCGCCATGCATGGGAACCAAGCACTGCTGCCGCTACTTGCGCTGCTCCTCCACTCTCTCTCCCCCCCACCGCCTCACCGCACTCCACCACTCTCTGCACTGGGACTTGCGAGTCTGCCCCACTCCCACACCTGCCTCCGCCTCTCCTCCCCTGCACTGCCCTCATCCGCTGGTAACCTCGCCCCCGCACCTCATACCCCCCATCCCCGCCCGCACTCCTGCCTGTTACCCCTCCTCCGCCCCGCTGTGCCGCCCGGTTCAGGCGGAACACGTGCACGCCGCCCGCATGCAGCGCAAACAGCCGCCCGGCGTGCACGCGCACGGCCAGCAGCGGCCCTCTGCTGGCGCGCGGCACGTGCGAGTCCAGGTGGTAGCGCTCGCCCTCCTGGCCCGTGCTGCAGTCTATGCGCTGAGGGGCGATGCGGGCAGGGGAGGGAGGACACGGGGGGAAATGGAGCTCAGAGGAAATAGGAGAAGAGAGGAGAGGAGGGACATTTAAAGTGAGTTTAGGTGGTACTGCTCCCTGTCCCGCCCCTGGCTGCAGCTCGATGCGCCGAAAGGGAGGAGGAACGGGTGGGGGTGTGGGCGGGGGCGAGGGGGTGTGCAACAACAAAAGTTGTAGGAAGGTCATGAGAGGGAGTGGGAGAGGGACAGCGGAGAGAAGGCTGGGAGGCAGGATGTTGAGTGCAGGGGTGGAGGCAGAAGGATCTGGTGAGTTGAGGCAGGGTGTTTGTCCATACTGCACTCACCACTCATGCTCACCTGCACTCACCACTCATGCTCACCTGCACTCACCACTCATGCTCACCTGCACTCACCACTCATGCTAACCTGCACTCACCACTCATGCTAACCTGCACTCACCACTCATGCTAACCTGCACTCACCACTCATGCTAACCTGCACTCACCACTCATGCTCACCTGCACTCACCACTCATGCTAACCTGCACTCACCACTCATGCTAACCTGCACTCACCACTCATGCTAACCTGCACTCACCACTCATGCTCACCTGCACTCACCACTCATGCTCACCTGCACTCACCACTCATGCTCACCTGCACTCACCACTCATGCTAACCTGCACTCACCACTCATGCTCACCTGCACTCACCACTCATGCTCACCTGCACTCACCACTCATGCTAACCTGCACTCACCACTCATGCTAACCTGCACTCACCACTCATGCTCACCTGCACTCACCACTCATGCTCACCTGCACTCACCACTCATGCTCACCTGCACTCACCACTCATGCTAACCTGCACTCACCACTCATGCTCACCTGCACTCACCACTCATGCTCACCTGCACTCACCACTCATGCTAACCTGCACTCACCACTTATACGCTTGCCTCACCGGTGTATTCTGATATATACATAATGAAAAAAAAAAAAAAAAAAAAAAAAAAAAACCTGCACTCACCACTCATGCTCACCTGCACTCACCACTCATGCTAACCTGCACTCACCACTCATGCTCACCTGCACTCACCACTCATGCTAACCTGCACTCACCACTCATGCTCACCTGCACTCACCACTCATGCTCACCTGCACTCACCACTCATGCTAACCTGCACTCACCACTTATACGCTTGCCTCACCGGTGTATTCTGATATATACATAATGAAAAAAAAAAAAAAAAAAAAAAACCTGCACTCACCACTCATGCTCACCTGCACTCACCACTCATGCTCACCTGCACTCATCTGCCCCTACTTGCGCTCACTTGAACGGCTGCACCATCTTCATGTGGCAGCGACGGCAGTGCCACAAAGAGAGACGTGCCGGCGAAGCACATGGCGTCTGGAGGGGGCGGGATGAGGGAGAGGGGGGAGGAAGGAGAGAGGTAGGTGGGGACATGAGAACGAGCAGGAAGTAGGGATGGGGGGGACAGTAAATGCATGTGCAGCATGGAACCATGTGCAGAACACATGTACGCGCAGCGGGCGAGGCGAGGCGAGGAGTGGAGAGGGGTTGACCTGGAGGGCGGGCGTGGGAGGAGGGGATGCGGTGGAGGATGACAGCCGGGGTGCTCCAATCCGCCAGGTAGATGGCGCTCTCGCATGCCACCGCACACGTCACTCCCTCGCCCCTCCTGCCATGCCATGCGGACATGTTGCCATGCCAGCACGCATGCCCATGGGAGAACAGCGCAGGAAGAGCATGCAGTGAGAAAAAGGAAGAATAGGATTTTTAGCGAAAGCTGTAGCGATCACAGCGCAATGAGCGCAGGCAGCAGCACTGACAGCGAGGGGAAGAGGCGTTTGTTGCAGCGCCGCCCTGGCATGACAGCAATGGCACAGACGCGCTCGGCCTCGCCCCACTGGTCCATGAGCTGCACGTGGTGGAACAGCACTGCCTCCCCCCCCGCCACGTGCCACAGCCCCACGCTGCCGCCCTCCTCCACCACCACGAGGCGCTCGTCGTCCAGCCACAGCATGGGCGCACAGCACGCCATGTGCTCCACTGCGCCCTCCGTCTGCATGCTCACCGCCACCCCGCCGTCCCGCACGTCCCAGATGCGCACGTCGCTGCCGCCCGCCTGCACCATTGCGAGCGCCGCCCCGCAAGGGGCGGCGTGCCACTCGGGCGGCGAGAGGTGCTTCCAGGACGGCGGTGCGGGCGGCAGAGGGTGGGCGGGGGAGTTTGGCGGGGAGGGGAGTGGGGACGGATGCGGGGATGAGGCGGGGAGGGAGGCGGGTTGGGGGGTTGGCGGAGTGAGGGAGGGGGTTTCAGAGGCGGGTGGTGTGAGCGGCACTTTGCTGCCTGCTGCAGCAGCAGTGGTTTGCTGCGGTGCAAGGTGGTTGTGCATGCGTGCAGGTCGTGGTGGGCAACAGTGGTGTGACGCTCGTGAGTGGTGCGGCGCAAGACTGCTCTCCTCTGCTGTGCTCCCCCTCTCCGCATGCTTGCCTGCACCTGCACACCCCGTGCTGCCCTGCTCCGCTGCAATGACGGGAGGAATGACGGGAGGGACAGGGGGGAGAAGGAGCGTGTGGGGCGGTGGTGAAGTGGCATGGGGTGGCGAGTGGCTGGGGCAGGGTGAGTAGTGCAGCGGTGGCTGATGGGGGGAGGGGGGGCAGCAGGCGTGTGGTGTGTGGCACACAGGCGAGGGGCGGGAGGCCGGGCAGGGAGAGGCTGAGGGATGCGAGGCGGCCACAGGTGGGTGGCAGTCAGCAGCATCCCCCAGTGCAGCAGCGTGTGTGTGACAGGGAGTGCGACCGTTTGGGGGCGAAGACGCAGGGGAGGACACAGGTGAGGGCGACGGCGAGGCGGTGGGCTTGGGAGGGGGGAAGCAGGAGACGAGGCGGGAGGAGAGGAGATCCCAGCAGCAGAAGGCGGCGTGCGATCGCGAGGTGGCGAGCAGCAGGCGCGCTGTGAGCCCATCGTGTGACGGCACCGCCACCACGTGACATGCTGCTGCCGAACCCAGCCGCACCCCTGCTGGTGGGCGGAACAGCGCGCGCTGCTGTTGGTGGTGACGCGGGTTGTGGGTGGGTAGGCCATGAGAGAGAGGACAGAGAGAGAGAGGAGAGTGGACACATGAGAGAGAGGGGGATATGAGAGCGGGGTGTTCCAAGAAGCAACGTGGTGTGGTGGTGGTAGTGCCCCACGTGCTTTGCACTGCATTGCCACTCCACCTCTACTACCTCCCCGCCCCCCTGCCAACCCGCCTTGTTATCACCCGCCCGCCCAGTACCTGCAGAGTGCTCGAGTCCAGCAGCACGCAGCACCCGTCCCAACCAGCCAGCACCAGGCACTCCCCGTCGCTCCCCACGAACCGCCCCGCGGGGTAAATTCCCCTTCCGCCAATCTGTACCCCCTCATGTTCTCCGCCTCCACCACGTGCCCCCCCAACCTCCGCCCTCCCTTCGCCACTCTCGCCGTTCTCTGCCCCCAGCTCTGCTCCCCACGGCGCCGCTCCCCGCACGCCTGTTTCCGCAGCCCCCTGCCACCCGCCCTGCACGGGTTGAGGGCGGAAGCGCGGCGAGTCCCGCGCAGTGCAGGGGCGCTCGCAGTCCGACTCGTCATCCGAGTCGAACCGCCAGCTGCAGAAGCGACATGCGCACGCGCCGCGACGCGCCGCATCCGGGTGCGGCGCCTGCCCTTCCGCCTGCCGCGCGGCCTCCGAGTCGCAACCGCAGTCGCCGCTGCTGCCGATGGGCTCCGCGCCATCCGCCGTTATGACCGCCGCTCGCGCTGCCGCGGCGGCAGCGCCGTAGTCATCGCGACCCCGCTGCCCCCCTTGCCGCTGGGTCTGCTGGGCTCGGCGGGCCTTGGGCGAGTGCGCGGGGGAAAGGACGCACGGAGAGGTGCGGACGGCCTGATTGCCTGCCGCTTGCCCTCGCCACGCCTCGCGCTCGCATGGTGACGCCTCGCTGACGCTACCGTGTTGATTTGGACGCTGCTGAGCGCTTCTACTAGTGCGGGGCGATTCGCGCGAGGCGCAATGGCGAGGCGTCGCTCGTGACACTGCAGCAGCTTTTCCGTCCTCATAGGAATCTCGCCGTCGCCGCTTCATTCGCTCAACTGCTCTAACGCTGTCACCTCGGAGCGTTGTAATCGCTGTGGCGATGTGCCTGCCTAGTGCATGCACCGCACAGCATGACGATGACTGGCTATGCGTGGATGCGAAGAGGTGGGTGGGTGGGGATGAATGTCCCCACGTCCCTCTTTTGCAGGCAAAAGAGGGTGAGTAGCGCTTCGGCGCTACCCCCTTTTCACAATACATTATTTTAGAAAGTGTTACATTTCATTACACTTTCAAAAATTATCATATTGTGAAAGTCTACTTAGGCTGACTTGCAAAGCAGGGCCTATGTTATCAGGATAATTTATCCTGATTCTCCTGAATTCAGGATAGGTGTCGTGTGCTTCTCCTGAAAAAACAGCATAAGGGAATTACTTGTCCTGTAAAATCAGTATAATGGTTATTTTGCGTACTGAAACTCAGGATAACGCTGTAGGTTCAGCCCTGACGACTCAGGATAATGTCGAATCTCGCCCTGAAGCGAGATGTACTGTACGAAAAATCTCCTGGGTTTCGGGGCCAAAAGTGTACAAGGCGAACGCTTCGGATGATGGAGCCAGTAGCAATCTTTCGCTTTACCCACTACAACACTTCATGTTCGACTCGCCGAACAACAAAATCTATAACAATATTGTTTTGCGCCAGCTTTTCCATCCAATTTGGCCCACGATGTTCACCGCCACCTTCGCCATCTCCTTGTACTGTGCTGTAACACTTTCGCACCATGCAGCTGCCAGCGACTTGCACTGCCAGCCACTTGCAGCTGCAACCCAGAATTACACACTTCGAATGTGGAGAGCATTTCGATCCCCGCTAACATAACACGCGCGAAATATACAGGATTGTACGAAATGTAGCACTGAGCTGCCAGGATACTCTCAAATGTAGCACTGACATTTCAGGATACCTCACCCTGTGCAGCCCTGACAATTCAGGGCAGATTCTGATTTCCTAAAAACTGCCCTGAGGCCTCAGTGTACCCCCAAACCAATCTGAGGGCCTGTTGCAAAGGCAGCGTTATCATTTCATATGGGTCTTCTGAGGCAAGTGCAGTCGGGGCTGGCGGTGCCGTTCGATTGATAGCTGATGCGTGGCGGGTGAGGGAGCCGTCGAAGGATCCTGCAACTGCGTGGAGAGGGAGATGAGCTGATCCTGCGCGATTGTAACGTACATCTCTTTCGCATTATGGGCCTGGAATTGCCGCCACTGGGATCCAGACACCCCTCCCTTCCTGGTCCGTCTTGGAGTGCGGGATGAGTAGCCACATTGCCTTCTCCTCGAACTGTACATCATTCCATTGGAGCGATACGAGGTCAGAGTAGCGCAAGAATGCCGAAAACATGAGAAGAGGAATCAATCATTTCTGGTATTCCGTCGAAATTGATGATTCGAGGAAGGGACGGGCCATGTTGTGCACTTGATGGAGAGATATGGGTTCTTTGGTCCTTGCAGGTCGAGGACCATGTCCCTTGGCGAACTCCCGCACTTGCAGGGTGAATGGACCGACGGTAGGGGAGGTTTCGCCTGTCATGCGGTGGGCAAAGGCTACTGCCGAACATGTAAGGTTGATCGCGGAAAGAGTTGCTTTGTTGTTGAGCACATGGATGAGATACAGTGCTAGCGTCAGGTCGGTTGCCGGTAGGAACTCGAGCTTGACTTAGGTACAGAAGGTGCGAAATCTCTGCCAATAAGGTTGGTACGTCTCGATTGTAGATGGTGCGCGAACGTGGCTAATTACGTGCATCAATTGTTGCTGCAGTTTGGCCAAAAGTACTGAAATGACACATTGATAATTTTTTATTAGACTGCATAGTTTACACGCAAAGCAATGATTGGGCTATGAGGCAATCCGAGACCAGAAAATGCAGTGGTGTGTGAACCTGCCCGAAGGCATTGACTGCCTTGGGCAAGGGAAAGGTGCTCTACTATTGCCGGAGCCCACGATTGAGTGGACGGTTGGAGGAGCGGCCACCATGACGCCCCGGTCCACTGGGGAACTACCAGCGTGAGTTCTGTCTGTGTAAGCTCTGCATGGTAGAGCGTAGCGGGGATTAAGTGTGGAGGCGTGAAGGCAAAGCATCGCTCGCCTTTCCACGAGATGGAGAATTTGTCGACAGCGAACGCGTCGGGGTGCGGTCTCTTGGAGCAGAAGCGCTGGACGTGATTGTTCCGAACGTTAGCAAAGAGGTCAATTGTATGGGGCCCCCAGCGGCATTCCAAGAGGCGAAACCAAGGTGCATGTAGGGAGTAGTCGTCATAATCTTGCATCTTGGATAGGTCATCCGCATGAACGTTGAGCGCTCTCGGAATCCATTCGACCGAGAGGCGTGTTGTGTTGCCGAGGCAGAATTGGATGATCGCTTGGCATGTCAACGTAAGATCCGCCTGACGGGATCCCCCCTTGCGCAAGATTAACATGACTGCCTGGTTGTCCACCCGGACGAGAACATGAGCACCCACGATCCGGGTTGCGAACGTCCGCAGTGCCCAGAGCACTCCCTCGAGCTCTCGCCGCGTACTGGATGTGGCGAGAAGCCCTCGTGGCATGCACTCGCTTGCTTCGCATGATGTACTTGGGAACTTGGCCAAGGTGGCACCCCAGCTATGTGCGCTTGCGTCGACGTGGATCACGGCATCAAAACGTTGACTCTGGAGGAATGGGGCGCCATTGAAACGATCGAAGTGCATTGTCCAAAACAACAGCTCCTCTGTCGCTCCTGGTGACAATACAACCTTCGAGTTCCATGACCACGCGGAGTCGATCAAGTGCAGCAGCTCATGGCTGAAGGCACGCGCCGTCGTGCCTAGCGCGGGCGACATGGAGCTGAGAAATCCAGTGATCCGGGCTATCTTGCGAATTGGCACTTGTCGACCCGACTGCCCTTTTTTTATGAGTAGGTGGAGCTCCTGCAGTAGTTGCTCGCGCCGATCTTTTCCGACGAGGAACATTCCGCGTTCCGTGTCAAGCTCCATCCCCAAAAAGCGCAAGTGGTGTGCGGGATGCAGATTTGATTTCTTAGAATTTATCACGAATCCTGCCGCCTTCAGGTCGTGGAGAACTTCGGTGCACGTCGAACGGGCTTGCGCCTCGGAGTTGCAGAGGAATAGTAGATCGTCCACGTATTATGCGCACTCCGCACGCGCGCCATCTCTAGGCCAGTTGCTTAATAAGCTGGGTGAAGACGAACAGGGTGTCAGAACATTATAGCTTATACATTTGTCTAGGCTGTATTGGGGTAGCCCATAAGGGGTACAACCCAATTAGGGTTAGTACTTGTACCCAACTCTTTGCTAGTTCATCCATTCTAGTTCGTTATTTTGACATGGAATCAGAGCAGGTTCCTTGGGCCCTCCACTTGCTACGCTGCTAGTACCCCACCTAGGCACGTCGACCCTAGCCTACGCACCCGGCCCGTCGACCCTAGCCTACGCGCGCCCGGCCCATCGCCCGGCCCCGTCCCTAGCCCAGCGCCCGGCCCCGTCCCTATCTCGCGCCCGGCCCCGTCGGCCCCTAGCCCTGCGCCCGGCCCCGTCCCTAGCCCGCGCCCGGCTCCGTCCCTAGCCCAGCGCCCGGCCCCGTACCTAGCCCGCGCCCGGCCCCGTCCCTAGCCCGTGCCCGGCCCCGTACCTAGCCCGCGCCCGGCCCCGTACCTAGCCCAGCGCCCGGCCCCGTACCTAACCCGCGCCTGGCCCCGTACCTAGCCCGCGCCCGGCCCTGTACCTAGTCCGCACCCGGCCCCGTCCCTAGCCCAGCGCCCGGCCCAGTACCTAGCCCGCGCCCGGCCCCGTCCCTAGCCCGCGCCCGGCCCCGTACCTAGCCCAGCGCCAGGCCCCGTACCTAGCCCGCGCCTGGCCCCGTCACTAGCCCGCGCCCGGCCCCGTACCTAGCCTGCGCCCGGCCCGGTAACTAGCCCAGCGCCCGGCCCCGTACCTAGCCCGCGCTTGGCCCCGTACCTTGCCCGCGCCCGGCCCCGTACCTAGTCCGCGCCCGGCCCCGTCCCTAGCCCGCGCCCGGCCCCGTACCTAGCCCGCGCCCGGCCCCGTCCCTAGCCCAGCGCCCGGCCCCGTACCTAGCCCGCGCCCGGCCCCGTCACTAGCCCGCGCCCAGCCCCGTACCTAGCCCGCGCCCGGCCCCGTACCTAGCCCAGCGCCAGGCCCCGTACCTAGCCCGCGCCCGGCCCCGTACCTAGCCCGCGCCCGGCCCCGTACCTAGCCCGCACCTGGCCTCGGCCTCTAGCCCCGCGCCCGACCCCGTCCCTAGCCCGCGCCCGGCCCCCTGTCGACCCTTCGCCCCGCGCCCGGCCCCGTCGGCCCCTTGCCCCACTGTCCTTGCTGCTACTGCTAAAGTTGCTACTGCTATCCTGCGTCCAGCACAGCTATGGCTTCACTTCGGGTTCTCGCGTTTGATCATGAGGGCAGACCGGTTCAGTTAGACACGTGGCTAGACGACCTGCAGCTGTACCTACTGAGCGATTCTAAGGACAGTGTCTCACTGTTTGACCTAGCGTCAGGCGCTGCTACTGCCCCTCCCGCCACAGCTGACAGTTCGACTCGCTCACAGTGGCTTACTCGCGACGCTGCTGCCCGCTTAGCCATTCGCAACCACCTGCAATTAGCTGAATGCGCTCACTTCGGACAGCACAGGACAGCGCAGGCGCTGTATGACGCTCTAGTCGCTCGCTACTCCTCCCCTGCCACTGCTGCTCTAGGCCGCCTCCTTCTGCCCTACCTGTTCCCCGAGCTGTCCACCTTTGCCACAGTCGAGGACCTGGTTTCCCACCTTCGCGCTAGTGACGCTCGCTACCGCGCTGCTGTTCCTACTGAATTCGTGGACAGGAACCCGCCCCCGATGTACATCACTCTCTACTTTATAGTCACCCGCCTCCCTGACTCTCTTTGCTCTGTCAAGGACCACTTCCTCTCTCTTGACCCCACCTCCCTCACTGTTGACCTCCTCGAGCAGCATCTCCTCGCAGCTGAGACTAGTGCGG